TCCTGCTGGAAGACCCAGGATCTTGGACGCAAACCCAGCTTTCTGACACTGGGCCCTACAGTGCGACCCAAAATCCTTTGGTAATCCTCAGATTTCATGATGCCTTGCACACAGTCAAGGCACCCAGTGCCAGAGGCAGCAAAACAACCCCAAAACATCATTGAACCTCCACCATATTTTACCGTAGGTACTGTGTTTTGTTCTTTGTAGGCCTCATTCCGTTTTCGGTAAACAGTAGAATGATGTGCTTTACCGAAAAGCTCTATCTTGGTCTCATCTGTCCACAAGACGTTTTCCCAGAAGGCTTTTGGCTTACTCAAGTACATTTTGGCAAACTGTAGTCTTGCTTTTTTATGTCTCTGTGTCAGCAGTGGGGTCCTCCTGGGTCTCCTGCCATAGCGTTTCATTTCATTTAAATGTCGACGGATAGTTCGCGCTGACACTGATGCTCCCTGAGCCTGCAGGACAGCTTGAATGTCTTTGGAACATGTTTGGGGCTGCTTATCCACCATCCGGACTATTCTGCGTTGCAATCTTTCATCAATTTTCCTCATCCGTCCACGACCAGGGAGATTAGCTACAGTGCCATGGGTTGCAAACTTCTTGATAATGTTGCGCACTGTGGACAAAGGCAAATCTAGTTCTCTGGAGATGGACTTGTAACCTTGAGATTGTTGATATTTTGCCACAATTTTGGTTCTCAGGTCCTCAGACAGTTCTCGTCTCCTCTTTCTGTTGTCCATGCTTAGTGTGGCACAGACAGACACACAATGCAAAGGTTAAGTGAACGTCTCTCCTTTTTATCTGCTTTCAGGTGTGATTTCTATATTGCCCACACCTGTTACTTGCCCCAGGTGAGTTTACAGGAGCATCACATGCTTGTAACATTCTTATTTATCCGCAGTTGTGAAAGGGTGCCAATACTTTTGTCCAGCCCATTTTTGGAGGTTTGTGTGACATTATGTCGAATTTGCTTTCTTTCCTCCCTTTTTTTGTTTTGTCCCAATACACACAAAGGGAATAAACATGTGTATAGCAAAACATGTGTTAATGCAATACGTTTCGTGAGAAATACATGATTTCCTGGAGAAATATCAAGGGTGCCAACAATTTCGGCCATGACTGTATAATTCTTTGTACCTAACCAACACAAGGTCCTTGGAAGATCTCACCTCAGTCCTGGAGTTTCTTCAACAGGAGCTGACAAGAAGTTGCCAATCGGCACTGTAAGGGATTCCGGTGAGACGATTGTCCAGAGAAGAGTGAACGGTTGTGCACATGCGCACGGAAACGTGCGATCGTGCACACGCATGGCGAAGATTGGCGCCAGATGGACTATTTAAAGGGTGCTTTTGCCTGTGCTGACTGATCTTCAGCTGTTCCCCGTTTCCTGCTCGTTTCCTGTGTGAATCCCTTGTTGCTGACCCGGCTTGTTCCTGACCTGACTCTGATTACTCCCCTGCTTGATACTGGTTCCTGACTTTGGCTCTGCTCCTGACTTTGGCTAGCTTCTGATTCTGTACCTCGCTGTCCGCCTGTTGATGACCCTGGCTATTCTCATGACACTGCTCCTGTCTCTCACCCCCTTTTCCTGCCTTGCTCTGGTGCACACCTGGCGATCTACCATACCAGCTCTGCATATTACTACTGTGCCTGAATCGGAGGTTCGTCAGTTTTCCAAGGCCACCAACTGCAAACAACATCTACTGGTGCTCTTGTCCCCCTGGTCCCTAGACACCCTCTTTTCCACTTCCAGTGGGGTCAGGGCTAGTGACACAAGTGAGGCCGACCTCTTCATTTCAGTTTCCTATCAGGTACGTGACAGGCACGCTAAAAGTCCAGGTGGCAGTTTTGGGGGTCTTGATCTCCTTGGGTCCCCTAGTTATCAGATTGTTCAAGGCTTTGTCTCGATCCAGATCGGTTTAACCAAAAGCTTTCTCTAATTGGGATCTTTCACTAGTCCTGAAAGCTCTAACCAAATCTCCCTCTGAGCCTTTGGATTCGGCAACCTTGAAGTATATCTTGCTGAAGACAGTTCCATTATTGTGGTCACCTCCGCATGTAGAATTAGTGATCTTCAGGCTTTATCAGTCAGAGACGTTTCTAATGATCTATCCAGGTAGGATTGTAATGAAAACCGATCCAGCCTTCCTCCCAAAGGAGGAAGCGTCAGTTTATCACCATTCTCAAGACATTCTTTTGCCAACCTTTTGTCCTAAGGAAGGAAATTTTCATTTGTTAGACGTGAAAAGAATCGTTTTACATTATTTAAAAGTAACTAAGGATTTCCGGAGTTATGAATCTTTTTTTCCATTTTGTTTGCGGGGGAAAAAAAGGGCAAAAATCCTCTACAGCATCCTTTGCCAGATGGCTGACAATGGCAATCCAATCAGCCTATGAACTTTCTGATCTCGTTCCACTGCTAGGCATTTATGCTCATTCCACAAGAGATTTAACAGCCACATGGGCAGCAAAGGCCGGTGCCACCCCAGAACAAATTTGTAAGGCAGCGACGTGGTCAAACATGTCCACCTTCATACGTCATTATAGGCTGGATTTGTTGTCAGCGGGAGAGCAGGCCTTCGGTAGGAAGGTCTTACAAGCTGTGGCCCCGTCCTAATGGGGTAAGTTCTTGTTTATCCTCTCATGTGCTGTCCTGAACGACGTTTTGAGAAAATCCAGATAGACTTACCAGAAATTTGTTTTCTAGTAGTCTTTCAGGGCAGCAATAATTCCCTGCCCTGATATTGTTTATGCTATTGAGCTTATGTTTTTTTCAGATGGGCTGGAGGTACTCTTTGACAATTGAGGACTATGGGGAGAGGCCTCCATTTTGAAGTCTATGTGGGTGTGTGTTTCCAGCTAGAGAAGGGAGGAAGGGAGTAGCTGCGTTCTCAAATGTACTGTCCTGAAAGACTACTAGAAAACAAGTTACCCATAAATCTAAGTTTTCTTTCTGATAATCTTTGTTCTCTCTCTGTTAGTTCTCGGTATCTAGACTGGGTTAATGTAGATTCTGGGGTTCAGTTCCTAACAAAATGTTGATTTTCATAATACTGTAGCTGTTGCTTGACTTAGGCACCTGGTGCATGTGTCTTGGGTCTTCTGCTCCATGGCTGGATCTAGCAAATTCTATGCTCTGTTGTGTGCTGGCTGTGCCGGGTGGAGGGATATGTCTGTATAGTCTCAGACCCAAGTCACTGAGTGCAGTCTCAGGAGATGGGAGGCAGCGGTGTGGGACCTCTGCAACTTGTCTACAGTAAACATTTAAGATTTCGCTGATTACTGAATACCAATATTATGAGTCCCGACCCTTACAATGTGTAATTTATATTGTACATTACATACTCCCTGACCCCTGCATTATGTACTCTGTTGTACATTACATACTCCTGACCCCTGCACTATATACTCTGTTGTACATTACATACGCCTGACCCCTGCACTATATACTCCTGCACATTACATACTCCTGACCCCTGCACTATATACTTGTTGTACATTACATACTCCTGACCCCTGCACTATATACTCTATGTTGTACATTACATACTCCTGACCCCTGCACTACTATACTCTATGTTGTACATTACATACTCCTGACCCCTGCACTATATACTCTATGTTGTACATTACATACTCCTGACCCCTGCACTATATACTCTGTTGTACATTACATACTCCTGACCCCTGCACTATATACTCTGTTGTACATTACATACTCCTGACCCCTGCACTATATACTCTATGTGTACATTACATACTCCTGACCCCTGCACTATATACTCTATGTTGTACATTACATACTCCTGACCCCTGCACTATATATACTTATGTTGTACATTCCATAGTCCTGACTTCTGCTCTCCCCCCCCCCCACTGCTATATATACACATAATATGGATTCTCTTTTGTTACACCCATTTCCTACCAGCTGGACATTTTATATCGGATGATGTGATTGGAGCACAGACTTTTACATGGTGATAATAATGTGATAACATCCTCCAACTTTGGACCCTTAAACAGAAAGTGATAATGAGGGAGGAGTCAATACCCCAATGATGGTGGTCTTCAGGATCAGTCCAGTCTTCATCTTGGTTGTTCTCCCCCCATCCTCACTCTCTGACCTCTGGTGGGGCTCAGCCCCGCTGTTCTTCATGACTAAATCATGGACTAAATAGGAAGTGCAGTACTTCTTGTGTTGGGAAGATGGCGATGAGTGATAGAGGGGGTGGGGACCCTCGTCCTATAATCCCCTCATCACTGTCCCTCCTATAAAAGACAGTTCTGGTTGTTTCCTCACTCTCTGACTAAGGTCCATGAATAAAGAAATGACCTGGTAGGAGATCAGAGGAGCCATTTCCTAGTTCCCTTGAGGGTGGAAATTGTAAGCTCCTCAGAGACCAAGCTGCCTGATGTGGGCGGAGTCCTGGTTTGGGGGAACCAATCAGCTCCTGTCTAGTAATCCTCTTTGTCTTTGTATTTTAGTCCATGGCCGGGAGATGAGGAAAAACCTCCGAGGATTGTCTCACTTTGTCTCCAGACTGGAAAGTAGAAGATGAGGACATCACACAGTATAGTCCAGGAGAAAACCCGGCTCCCTCCAATGTCCATCCGGCACCACCCAGTGTAGATGGACCATCGGGTATTTCTTCGTATATTGAGGAACCTCAGACTGTGCGGACCGGGCCGGCCTTCCAACAGGAAGAAGAGTTCTCCTGTACTGAGTGCGGGAAGGGTTTCCATTTTAAATCCAATCTTAATATGCACATAAAATCTCACACTGGGGAGAAGCCGCATTTCTGTCACAGAGTGTGGGAAAAGTTTTTCTAAGACATCCAATTTTTACAAGCATCAGAGATCTCACAAAGGGGAGAAAACGTTTTCCTGTCCTGAGTGCGGGAAATGTTTTTCAAAGAAAGAAATGCAACCTTTACACACATCAGAGATTGCACACACGGGGAAAAAAAACCGTATTCCTGTTCTGACTGTGGGAAATGTTTTGCACAAAAATCCAAACTTTCCCTACACAGAGATCTCACACAGGAGAGAAGCCGTTTTCCTGTTCTGAGTGTGGGAAATGTTTTGTGCAAAAAGTCAGCTTTACATCACATCAGAGGTCTCACACAGGGGAGAAGCCATATTCTTGTCCTGAGTGCGGGAAATGTTTTTCAGGGAAGTCCCATCTTTACAGACATCAGAGATCTCACACAGGGGAGAAGCCATATTCCTGTTCTGAGTGCGGGAAATGTTTTTCATGGAAGTCCCATCTTTACAGACATCAGAGACTGCACACAGGGCAGAAGCCACTTTCCTGTTCTGAGTGTGGGAAATGTTTTTAGATAAGTCCAATCTTTCTATTCATCAGAGATCACACACAGGCGAGAAGCCATATTCCTGTTCTGAGTGCGGGAAATGTTTTTCAGTGAAGGCCTCTCTTTACACACATCAGAGATTGCACACAGGCGAGAAGCCGTATTCCTGTCCTGAGTGCGGGAAATGTTTTTCAGTGAAGTCCTCTCTTCGCAAACATCAGAGATTGCACATGGGGGAGAAGCTGTATTCCTGTTCTGAGTGCGGGAAATGTTTTTCACAGAAGTCCGCTTTTTACACACATCAGAGATTGCACACAGTGGAAAAATTATATCCCTGTCCTGAGTGTGGGAAATGTTTTGAGCGCAAGGCTAATCTTTACAGACATCAGAGGTGTCACACGGGGGAGAAGCCGTATTCCTGTCCTGAGTGCGGGAAATGTTTTTCACAGAAGTCCCATCTTTGCAAACATCAGAGATTACACACAAGGGAGAAGCCACATTACTGTCCTGAGTGAGTGAAATATTCCTCACTGAAATCCTGTCTTCCTGTACATCAGGGGTCCCACACAACCCTGGAGGTGTATTAGTGCCTTGAGTGCAGGAAATGTCTTCTAGATGAATGTTGCTGGACATCCCAGGTCTCATGTGGGGAAGAAGCACACCCTGATATACACCTCAGATATACTCCATGGCTGATCTTCATCATGGAAGAAACCGTTCATAAGGAGATCAGAGGTCATCAAAGACATGGATGAAGTGTGGGACCGGGTTGGCCATTGATGGCAGGAGAAGAATAAAAATGGAGTCATCACCTTTCATTGGCTGAGTACATTAGACAAATTCTGGACTTGGTATTTTTTATACAGTGATTTCTTATGCTCATTAGCTCCATCTAGTGGCTATAATGTGTCATCCTATTATTTTTCTTGATTGAGGTATCTCAGGAAAAATACCACATTATGGCTACTATGAAGACTGTTGGAAATCATTCTATTTAATGAACTAGACAGAATTTAGCATGGCTGGGCAAGATCTTGTCACATTCATCAATCAAATTTTTAAATAAATAGATCCCTTTGTTTTCCTAATTAGGTGTGGTTTCATACAAATAACTGAAGAGTTCATAGTCATGGACCCATGAGTACAATAGACACTGAAAAACAATCAAACCAACAGTATACAAGGGAGATGTGGGAGCATAGGTCACAGGTCTCTCAGCCATGTTTTTACTAGCCTGCAGCTAGGGGGCGCTCTATTGTTTAGCATATAACCACAGCAGAGTGATGCCATCAGGCTCACTTGGAAATCAGAATGCAATCAGTTCTGTATTCTATTAATATTATACATAGCGCCAACAGTTTGCTCAGCGCTGTACAATATAACGGGAGACAATACAGTTCAATACAAGAGGGTTAGGAGGGCCCTGATCCTTGGAGCTTACAATCTAAGGGGGAGGGGCTGGTGGTACAAAAGGTAATAACTGAGGGGGATGGACTGGTAGGAGGAGTAGAAGATTCCAGTATTAGCTGAGGGCAGGATAGGCTTCCCTGAAGAGAGGTTTTCAGAGATTGCCTAAAAGTGGGCATAGTTGGATAGATTGGGTAGAGAGTTCCAAAGGATGGGAGAGGCTCTGGAGAAGTCCTGAAGACTAACATGGGAGGAGGAGAGCAGGAGGTCATGGGAGGAGCGGAGAGGATGGTTTGGGTGATATTTGGAGACAAGATCGTTGATGTAATTTGGGGCAGAGTTATAAATGGCTTTATATTTTTATTTAATGTTTTGAATTTTATTCGTTGGGCAATGGTAAACCCAGTGGAGGGATTAACAGAGAGGGGAGGAGGACACTGAGTGGAGGGATTGGCAGAGAGGGGTGGAGGACACTGAATGGAGGCCAGTGGAGGGATTGGCAAAGAGGGAAGGAGGACACTGAATGGAGGCCAGTGGAGGGATTGGCAGAGAGGGGTGGCAGAAATGGAACGGTTGGTAAGGGGGATGAGTCTGGCAGCAGCATTCATGATAGACGGATAGATTGGGGTAGAGAGTTCCAGAGGATGGGGGATGCTCTGGAGAAGTCCTGGAGATGAGCATGGAAGGAGAAGACAAGGTCACCAGAGAGCAGGAGGTCGTGGGAGGAGCGAAGAGGATGGTTTGGGTGATATTTGGAGACATGACTGGTGATGTAATTTGGGGCGGAGTTATAAATGGCTTTATATGTTATTGTTAATGTTTTGAATTTTATTCGTTGGGCAATAAGAAGGCAGTGGACGGATTGGCAGAGGGGTGGAGGGCACTGAGTGGAGGCTAATGGAGGGATTGGCAGAGAGGGGTGGAGGCCCAGTGGAGGGATTGGCAGAGAGGGGTGGAGAACACTGAATGGAGGCCAGTGGAGGGATTGGCAGAGAGGGGTGGAGGACACTGAATGGAGGCCAGTGGAGGGATTGGCAGAGAGGGGTGGGGGACACTGAGTGGAGGGATTGGCAGAGAGGGGTGGAGAACACTGAGTGGAGGGATTGGCAGAGAGGAGTGAAGGACACTGAATGGAGGCCAGTGGAGGGATTGGCAGAGAGGGGTGGAGGATGTCATGATCGCGGCATCAGACCCCAGACCTTCTCACCAAACTCGTGAGCGAAGGACTGGCCGATCTAAAACTGCGATGTGATGTGCGTATCAATGCCACACCCAGCTGCACCCTGCACAACGATTTTCCAGCTAATGGACAACAGATTGGTGTGCCGTCAGCCTGAGCGATTGTTACTGGGTCAAGTTAATTACGCAATTAACGCCTTCACACTGCCACCATCTCCTTTTGGTTCAGAGAAAGAGGAAACTCGGCAATATCAGCAATAACACTCTAATGGTTGAAATAATCGACTGCATAACCTGGTCATAATACAGGCCTGTTATACAGAGGGTTAAAACAAACAGTAGCGTCTCTTTAAAGGCAGGGATTCATAAATTGCAATAAAGAGCTATAGAAACAGTTCAACTCTTTCAGAAAGAGAAATTTATTACTAAAAGGGTCAAACAGGTGCAATAAAAGTATTTACAGAGAAGATGTAACTAAGATATATACATATACAGGAAACAGCATAGCACAGCAAAGAGATAACAGAGAGAAGTTAAAGGGTTAAGTTACTTGCCAGTAAGCCTTTGATGTAAGCAGATCCAAGTTTTTTAGAGCAGAATGGTGCTTTGATCTCCCACTGTTACGATGGAAAAATGGGAGATGCCTTCAATTCCCTCCTCTTAGGCCTGACAGCTGGTTTTAAAGTTTACCAGCAGGGGGTGGTTCTGAAGTAACAAACCTATCCCTTGTGCAGGGAGGGGTCATCAGGTGGGACCCTAAACTGGGGCCAACATCTTTCATAATTCATATTCTGTTCCATAACGTTCCAGCTGCACAAGCTACAGTCCACCCGTGGGTATTTTATTATGCAGATAATCCTGAGGATTATTTAGATATGAATTATGAAATTATATGTGGCACGGTTCGTGAGTTCTATGTTCCGGCTCCCCTGATGGTCCGAGATAATTCGAATGACCCATCAAACTGTTCGCCTGCTCCTAGCCAATCTGACGGGATGTCTGGTTTTAATGTAAGTCTCTCATATTCCAACATATGAAACATAGGGGAAAAATTGATCTTTTAAAAAATGTTATCTGGTGTTGGCTGTCAGAGCAGGGCTGTGGAACGGACAGGTAGGCCTAGTGGCAGGGTAATGCACTGGCTGACGACAACCACCACCAACAGACCGAAGTCCCTCAGGGCGCGGAGTCTAAGTCCCAGGCTGCCCTTCACCAGGGCCCCTGATGGTGGGGATGGACTTGACGCAGCCAGGAACCAGGTCGCGGCCCCCGAGACACCCCGGCTGCGGTAATGGCCGCCGCCAATGGCGTGTAGCTGGTGAGAATGACAATAGCGTAGTCAGACAAGCCGGGTCAACAACAACAGGACAAAACAGTACAGAACAGTAGACAGAGAATCACAGGTCACGGGCCGGGTTCAGCAATGGAAGGTCAGATCAAAGGGAAACACAGAGAATGGTCTAGTCACAAGCCGAGTCAGAATACCTGAAGAGTCACGAGCATATACACAGAGCTGTAGCAAGACAAAGACACAAGTGCAAAGAGCATGTGCAGATCCCAGGCTTATATGTACTCAGCCACACCCCTCTGGGGGATGGACCTCAGAGACCTGAAGGCATAAAAGATTCCCATCATGCTCAGCAGAAATCCAAGATGGATGCCAGCACATGGAGTAACATAACCTCTGGGAAAAGGTAGGACCTTGACATTGGCTTCTTGGGAATGCCTTGAACTCCGGGGAGTTATCTTTTTACGAAGCGTGAAATTACACAGGTTCTCAGGACAGTGGGACTCCAGCTCTCCTGAGGGGGGCTTTGTAGCTCTGGGCTCCTTGCTGCTCTAGCCTGCCAGTGACCCACAACCAGGTGTCACGGTGGCTGAACGGAGAGGAAGGGGGAAGATGAAGGAAAAAGATATTTCAGGACGGTTCATCTCTTCGCCAAGATGGAGGTTGAAGCCAAAATGGTTGAACCGCGTCTATCTCTGATGCGCGCATTTGCGACACAGGACACTGAATGGAGGCCAGTGAAGGGATTGGAAGATACAGAACGGTTAGTAAGGTGGATGACTCTGGCAGCAGCATTCATGATAGACTGAAGAGGGGATAGCCTGCGATGAGGTCGGCCAATGAGGAGGAAGTTACAATAGTCAAGGTAAGAGATAATCAGGGAGGGAATAAGTTGCTTAGTGGTTTCCGAGGTTAGGAACGGTCGTATCTTGGAGGTGAAGTCTACATGATTTGGACAGTGATTGGATTTGGGGCTGAAAGGACAGATGGGAGTCTAGGAGGGAGTTACAATAGTCAAGGCGAGAGATAACCAGGGAGTGAATAAGTTGCTTAGTAGTTTCTTCTTGTTGCACCTTGCCTTCAGACCACTGACAATCCTGTAACATCTGGTGGCTCTGTCTGGGGTGGATGCAATCAGGGCAGGTAAGTGGCCATTACAGTAAAGTAAGAGTTGGAAGACTTTATGGAGGCTGCACAGGAAACAATATGGCTGATCCAACTACAGGGGTATATTCAGGAGCTATTGAACACACTGTTTGAAAATTAGCTGCACTCACTGTCTGTCTTGAGGCTGGAGGAAGAAGGTAAAGAGATTCATCGGACTTCAGATTGAAATGAGATGTAGATAAGCGGGTCCATCCTGGAACACTAGCAGGGAGAAAGACAGAGATGTGCCATACCTGCTCCAGGTAACAACGGGTTCTGTCTGATCAGAGAAACCAGCTCTCTAAATCCTAATGTAAGAATCTCCCACCTGATGCTTGCTGCTGGGAGGGTATTTAGTCCCTCCCGTAAGGTTACACATGGCTTCAGTGTTTTGCTTTGTTAGCCAGACAATGCTTAGCATTTATCCTGAACTTGATCTTGCCTTGCACCTTGTGCCCTGCACCTTGCTGCCTTATATCTGCTCTTGTTCC